CCTGATTAACGTCACTCGCTGGTATAATAATATCATCCATGTACAAAATCACGACTCTTTCTTGAATTAAGTCTTTGAAAACATTGTTTATGTAACGTTGAAACACTGCTGGCGAATTGCACAGACCAAACGGAGTACGTAGAAATTCATACTGTCCACCTGGAGTTACGAATGAAGTATATCTCACACTTTCTTCGGCTATAGGAACATGGAAAAATCCATTTTTCAAATCCAATGTTGTAAAGATTCTTGCGTCAGCCAACAAATCAATGTGATCCTCTATTACAGGAAGAGGGTAACGATCTTTTATTATCTTCCTATTCAACTTACGATAATCAACACAAATGCGAGTACTTCCGTCTTTCTTCTTTACAAGTACAATAGGGCTGGCGAAATCCGATGTACTCTCTCTTATGATGCCGTCCTTCAACCAATTTTCAATTTGCCTGCCTACCTCATATCTTTCTGGCATTGATAATCTTCTCGGTGCTTGATAAACTGGTGCATCATCTTGTAAAATAATTTTCGTCTGTATGTTTGTTGAAGTTGAACATTTCTTTGGTTTGTAGTTTTCAATCAACTGTTGAACTTTGTCGTAATATTCGTATCTACCAACATCTAAATCATTTTCTGTGTTTATCAGAAATATTTCATTTTCCTCAGAGACACCTATTTCTTCCTTTGGTAGATGATTACAAAATCTAATTTCGTTAGAAGATATTGTCAACGTCACTTTTTCTAATATCGGCTTACCAATAAGTAAATCCATGGGCATGGCATCATCAGGTACTATGTGTACAGTCGTTTTAAATCCACACTCGTCTACGTTTATATTACCGTTGAATTTACCCATAGCAAATACCGTGTTTTTGCCCAGTCCTCGCAAAGAAATTGATGTCTCTTCGAAATTTGGCGAGCCTAATTTTAAATAGCTACTAACTTTAATTAAATTCAAGTCGCTTCCAGTGTCTATAAATCCACAGAATAATTTGTTGTTAAGATATAACTGCTTGTAGCCTGGTTTTTCTTCTTTAGTTTCTTTTATGACGTACGATTGCTTCTTCTGGTTATCGTGTGATTGGCAGTTTTTAGCAATATGACCAAAATTATTGCATCTGAAACATTTTATTCCCTTTTCCTTATCGTGACAATTTCTTGACAGATGTCCCTTCCTTCCGCAGTTAAAACATGTCGGAATAGGTCCCTTTTCTTCGCGTTCAGGTTTCCTAGTCTTTGGGTTGTCTTCCTTTATGTTCTTGTCTTTATACTCCCGTCTATCTTTAGATTGTTTAGATTTCATTTTTTCGTAAATCTTAAGTTTCGTTTTAAAATCATTCATGCAACTCGCGCCGTATAAAATAGTTTTATTTGCTTCGTCGTCAATAATTCCATCGATAATCAATCAAAGAAATCAAAGAAATCAATCAAAGCGTCCTGTTCGATGTAGCCTCGTGCCGCAATTTGTCGCATTTGAAGAAGGTACTCAGTTAACGTCTCTTCCTTTCGTTTTTTCCTGGTTGCTAACATCTTGTGTAAAGCAGCGCTATTGATTGTCTGTCCAAATTCTTTCTGCAAACTGTCTTTCAGTGATTTCCAAGTTTTAATTATTGGTTCTGATTTTATAAACAGAAGCGCGTCATCTTTCAATAATTTTTTTCCGTATACCAATTTTTCTACGTCGCTCCAACACATTAATAAAGCGGTTTCTTCAAACTCGTCTAACCATTTCTCTAATGAACACGTGTCACTTCCATTAAACGTTGAAACAGCGTCTTCCACGTCTTTAAACGTTAAAACGAATTTCGGTGTCGTTTTCTTCGTTCGGGAAACTGCGTTTGCTACGTCATTGTTTCCTGCGTCGCTATTGTCGTCATCGTCATCATTATCTTCGTCATCATCGTCGTCATCATTTGTTTTATCGTCTTTTGCTAACAAACTTAAATCAGATAATCGCGTGCATAATACTTTTACCAATTCTTCTTTGTTATCAGCGTCGTTTGGAATTTCCAATAAATTACAAATTAAATTTAAATCTCCTAACGTCAAATTTTTTGTAGCGTAATCTAATTTCTTTTTTTTTTCGTCGTCATTTTGAAAAACAAAACCTTTAAATTCGCGTAGTCTTTTTCTATTATTTCGATCTCCGTCGTTTTCATAAACTAATCTATGACATGCTCTTATCGTCGCCGTTGTTCCGTTCGTTATGTTTCGTTCAATAGCTAAATTATTGCCTAAACGATCCATTTTTTTTTCGAAAGTTAAAAGAAAAGCATGCAACTTATCTGTGTGCCCTTGAATTGAGAAGATCCCGCGTCGTTATCTAGTCTTGGTTCCCGTCAGTGGTCGATGCCTACAGCCGTTATTTTATCGATCTTCGTTGTCGCCGTCTGGTTGTGTTTTTTCTTCGCACGTCTTGCCGAACTTGCGTACGATCCGCCTTCTTCACAAAGTTTACAGAATTTTCTTCGTCGCTTTTCTTCACCAAACTTTGCTTTTTTCGCAGAATTTTCGTCGTCGCTTTTCCTCACGAAACTGCTGTTTTTCTTTTATTTTAAATTATCGCGGACGAGCCTCCAAATTGTGTAGGGTTCACGTTCTATTTAATTTATTTCTAGGGGTGTTTTTATTAAACTTTCACTTCATAATAAAATAATGTTTATTTTAATCATTTCTAGCGGTACACTTTAAAACTTGTAGTTTGAAATAAAATAATATTAATACAATCGGAACGTTTTACAAATACGACTGTTGCTCTTCGGGATCTCAGAGGCAACTGTTCGATCTTCTTATTCGTTAGCGCTTTCAAGGGGGAATCCCACATTAATATTTTTAAACGGACTATAAGGATATATATTATCGCCAAAATCGACAGGGTGGTTTTTAAAATATTCCAAAAAACTAGGGGTAGTTTACCCCCTGAAGCCCTCAGATATATGTGTGATATAATACAAAAGCTCTTTGAAACTGAATATTAGTTTACATTTGCCACATTTCGATAGCTATTGTCGTTTTCAGCCTATAAGGGAATATATATATTTCTCTTTATTAGCACGTATCAAAAAATACGTAACCTTATTTTTGGCCAAACTATCGCTGTACCAAATTTCAACCAAATCGGTGAGGGACAGTTCTGATACTTCCCTCGTCAGTGATTTACTACGTCATCTCAATTTATCAAAACAAGGATCAGAACTGTTAGCCTCAAGATTAAAAGCAAAAAAAATAATAGCTCCAACAGTAACAATTACAACTTACAGAACGCGAGAAAGTGAGTTATTACAATTTTTTAGTGAAAATGAAGGATTGATGTACAGGGTGTCCAAATTTCGATGGGTTTGCAAGGTATCTCAGTTATTATGAAGGATAGAAAGTTGCGGCTTTCGCGAACCTGAGCTACTTGTTTGTGAAACTTACAATGGCGCAAACCAAATTTTCATAGCCCTTTTCGTTTTTGATATGAGTGTTTCAAAATTTATGATTTTCAGAAATCCCTGTATCTCGGCTGCCCGAAAATGTAAAAACAGCTTCTAATAGATTTTTTCACGTAGAATCCAATGGTGAACGTAGAATTTTTCTAGTCATCACGGTTTTTTGAGTTATAAAGAGTTAAGTATTTTAGAAGTTGAGTATTCAGTATTTGAGTTGTGTTTTTACTGTTTTACTAAGTTTCCGGATAGCCGAGATACAGGAGGTGTTTGAAAATCGCAAATTTCAAACACAATTTTTTAGATGACGTCTTACCAACGTTACTTGTAGATTTGAGCAGGGAAGAAATACAAAAAAAATATGTGGCTGCTAAATGATGGGTGTCCAGCTCATTTTTCACATATTGATATTTTTTTGTGGGGCGTCCTTAAGGATAATCTTTATCGCGAAGTACCGACTACGCCAGAAAACATGAAAGAGCGGATAAAAAATGCATGCAGAAATAGTAGCCAAGAAAACCTCTTAAGATGTAAAGAAAGTTTTAGTAGAAGGGTTAATAAATGTATTGAAGTCGGTGGGGAAATATTTGAACATTTATTATAGATTTTATACTTGTTGATGATTAATAGTATAGTTTAATCATTGTTCTATAAATAAACAATATTTAAAACCATTTGAATAAAAAATTATTTACATTTTGTCTACAAAAGATGTTTCGCTGTCGTACTGGCAAAACCACACGGTATTTTTTTTTATTCAGATTTTGCAATCAAAAACAGGGTGCCATTTAAAAAATTGGCCGTAACCTTCATATGACCTTGAAAATAAGGTCAAGGTCAAATTTTTTAATCGTCATATGGTTTCCCCCTTCGCACAGAACAACTTTCTTTTGGTCCATTTTTATGTAAAATGAACTGTTTTCGAGATAATCGCTTGTCTCACGTTAAATGTACCATCCTGTACACTGGTCCAAATATATCCATAAGATCATTTACAACCATGCCAACGGTTTAAGCATAAAATTTCCAGATCATCTCCAAGCCAAAATCTGATTTTGTCTTTTAACCGCAGACAAACATTAACAAGGACTGTAACGCATTTCTTTTGGATTCAAGATCAGTAATAAGTTATCATCGTCATATCAGTTCATTTCTGTTGTTTTGTGCGACCAATCGAAGATTTCTTCGCCGACAACACCCGAGAAATGTAAATATTTCACAAACTAAAATTCTACATAACTTTACCCGGAAGAATTTGATTAACTCTACGATGATTTTTGTAAAAACAATTATTTTCTATTTTAATCTAAAAATTAGTCTTATATCTTACCTTAAAAACAATTTCAGTAGCCGTATATCATTAAAATGATTGTTCAAACTTGTTGAAAATACCTGAAACAGCTTTCCAATTAAACACAATAATGATTTCAAACACCCAACTGCAATAATTGGTGTTCTAACAGTTGATTCGTTCGATACACATAAATCCAACATTGAAGTCAGTGCAGAAAAAAAGTTAATACTTATTAAAATGTTAGGAATTTCCAATAACATGTCAATCTTGAACCGAAACAACGTAGATATATAATTATATAAAGCGTTAGCAACATGTTCTTTAACCAAAACGCTTTCATATTTATCAATCAAAATCGAAAATAACAATTCTCGTAAATTATAGTGTAAATTTTCAGTTAATTCATTAATGCAATCAATAGAAAGAAATAATCCAGTGAATAATTGAAATACACCCGCTCGTATGGTTACGTCTTTACTTTCAAATAATAAAAACAAATTTACTAAGTTTCGATTGATTCCAGATTCTTTTTCAATAAAGTAATACTCCCAATTTTCAATATTCCAACTAATCATTTCGTGTAAAATGTGGCATAATGATAAAATGGCGTTTTTTATTATCGCAGAACCCATCACGGATTCCGAGGCGTTCTCGCCTTTTCCAGTATTAAAAGTTGCAATTAATTCGCCTAGATTATAACAAATATTAAATAGCTTTGTATCTCGGTTATCACTTAACTGTGACCATCCTGGATTTAATGTTATTTGAGTTAAACATGTTAACATTGAATCTAATAAAGCTTAAGAAAAATGTATCAAAATTTATTCGTAATTAAAAATGTTGTACTTACCCAAATTATAAAAGCCTTGTACATCGCAACTTAGGCATTCGGAAATTAAATTTACCACTTCGAATCCGTTATAATAGGAATTTTTATTGTGTTTCATACAAGTTGTGATTAACCTGAAGAATTCCACGTCGAGACCATTTTTTTCTCCTTGTGTAAACATTAATTGGTTTTGAAGCAAACAATCGTAAATTGCTAAGTTGTTATTATTTAACGGAATAAGTAATGCTAAACATTCCATCATAATTCTTAATTCGTCTTCATTTGGACACGCTGAATAAAACAATCTTTCTAATATCATCGTTGAAGGTGATGAAAAAAAATCGATGTTTGTTGCATATTTCGGTGTTAGTATTCGATATAAATGTAAAATTCTAAAAAAAAAAATAATTTGTTTGGAAATTTATTTGTAAGGTTATAATTTATAATATATTACCCAATTAACTTCACAAATTCGTTATAATAATCGCTTTGAATAGCATTCAGGCATTTTCTGAAACAAAATTCCAGCGAAGAATTTTGAACACGCTTCAATTCTTTTTCAGATAAACACAAATCCAAATTAAAATCGTTAGAAATGTTCCAATCCATAATATTTGTTTTATTGTTGAACCACGCAAAGTTCCACATTAATTTTAAAGAAAACTGTTTTTCGTTGTCGTTTTTGGTCCAAATATTAAAATCAGAAAAATCGTCAGAATTATTTTGAAACGTTACACAACTGAATGGAACTTGTAAATTTTGAAGTATAATATTCGGTAGAGATAAATTTGCTTGGATAACACTTCCCTTTAAATAATTATTGTATAGTAAACAAAATATTAAGGTACTTCCATCGTGGAGAAGACGATCGTCTGTACGATATAATAACATTGCTAAAATATAATATTTATTAGTTTTAATCATACAAAAAGGTATTTAAAAATACCTCTAAATATATAATACACAATTTCATCACATCCTAAATTTTGTCGTACTGATGAATTATATAAAGCTAAATATTTTAAAATAGTTATTAGAGATAACGCACAATCCGGGTATGTTTCGTAATTTTTTTCTAGAAGAGAATCCTTAAGTAACGCAACCATTTTTTGAATTCCATCTAATTCTAAGAATTCTTTATGTAACGCATAGTCTTCTATTATAACTGCAAGTTGAGTTAATGTTGATCTTTTAATTAGTGGTTCCAAATTTGCGGTGTATAATAATTTTAAAAGTTTTTCTAATACTCCTTGCTAAATGAATTAAATAAACATAATAACTCAATTAAAATTTAACGGTTTTCTATAGCACATATATGTATATCACCTGATGATAAGTTTTTGTATATGCTGGTAAATGGTTTACGTCAACTTGATATTTAGCAAAACATACATTATGTAATTTATTTGAAACATAATTAAGTCGCGGTAATAATTTATTGTGATCCAGTTGAATGGATAATAACCAACATAATCTTGAAATTGCCTCATTCCTAACAGAAGCGTGACGACTGAAGAGCAATGATAAGTTGGATTTGAATATCTAAAATAAATAAATCAAATTTGTTAAAAGTTCACAATTTGATATAATGCAATTTCATAAAAAATAATAGTTGTCTATTGTTATAATATTAATATTTAACGAGCTGAGACATGACAATTTCGACGCTGAAATTGATTGAATTAATATTGGGTACACTTCAGATATTATGCTAAAGTATAACGATCTGAAATCGCTCGAAGTTGGACTTGATTGAACGGAAACCGTTTTTGTTACACCATAACTACTCTCGAATATCAATATTAGTTGTGATTGTTAAATAAATGTTGTGTACATTTTAGCCGCAACATCAATATTTAACTCTTCAGATTTTGTGTCGAAAAATCTCAATCGCTGCTTTAGAAGTAGCGTCACAACAACTAGTGTCCAATTCTCTCTTCTAAATGAATTTAATTCTCCAGATACACTGAGAAAAATGATATGGAAAATTGAACTAAATCAATTTAGTTGTAAGAGAAATAGTCATTTTTGCTAGAAAATTTATTCATATACCTAACGTAATTTAGCCGACATATACAATTCTAATTAGTCAAATTTATGATAGTTAATTTATCTATTTACTGAGGAGATATAACTAATTTTCAGAAAAAGAAACTACGTCGTGGAAACCAGTTGATAAGTCTAGTTGTTGAGTAGTTTAGTTACCTAAAGTATTTGGTATTTTGTGTATTTTGTTCTAGTCTGAATATCTATATACATTTAACAATGAAATATTTTACCTAAATGGACAAATGTACTATTATTAAATACTTTGTTTAAATGTATTTTAGTCGTTTTGTCTACCTGTTTTCATCGTTACAACGATCGTTAATAGAAAATATATCTTAACACAAAAATTTAGGTACGACGTCTATATTTAAGTAATAAAGCTATGTACAACCATTAATAATAAAAATAATATTAATAGTAAAAACATCTATTAATACTATAAATATATTGAAACTAATTTGATTAGGTATTTATAAGATATATCATTTATCTATCTTAAATTAAATAGAATTAAAAGAAACAGAATTAGTTTTTATAACTAGTAGTAGTAGTTAGCTAATTTTTGACTAAAAATTCTAGATAATATGACTAAATTTTAGGTAGTTTTTCCACATTATTTTTCTCAGTATAAATGCCTAAAATTGAGCATATTTGTTAATTTCTTCAATTATTAGTAACTCGATCGCCAAATCAAAGAATAGTTCAAAGTATTCGAAGGTTTTACTCTCGCTAGAGAAGTTACATGGCGAACCTGATTCTTAATCGGACACCGATACTAACAGGAAAATAGTAGAATAAACTGACGAAATTACAAAAAAAGGAAGAAACAATTAAGATCATTAACAAAAAACCATATAACTAAGAGAGGGAAGACGGAATTAATGGAAACGAAAGAAATGCTAATAGTCTCTTGAAGAAAAGTGTGAATCAACAGGAGAGAAAAAGTATGAGGTAAAAAATGTTGCAACAAAATAAAATGCTCAAAAGGGGAAAGAATGGAAAGAATGAGAATATCGAAATGCAGAAGACAAAAAACTAATAGAAGTAACCAAAACACGGAAAGCGAGATATTGGGCGACCATTCTGCAACCTCAGAGGTATGAACAAGCAATAAAAAATAAATTAGAAGCCAAGGTAAACCGAGAGAAGAAAAATATGGAACAACTATGGACCATTTTTCAGGCATGCTTGCTAAGCACACCAAAAAAGATATGTAGAACATGCAAACAAAGTTGTAACAAACAAAGAGCAAGCTGTAATCAAGAAAGTAAAATGAATCTATCCAACGGATCCACAAAAAAAATACGGAAAATTCAAGCATCAAGGAAACAAAGTAAAAAAGATGGTACGGGCAGGAAAATTGAGAATGGCAACAGAAATAAATAATAAAACTCATAAAATAAATACGGAAATATAAGATGCATACTGCCATTACATAGAAGAGGAGACAATGAAGATTGTTCAAATTATAGAGGAACAACTAGATTAATGCTAACAACATTTTTTTTTCGTAATTCCTCTTCACTATTAATTATAGAGACATAGACTTTTGACTTCAATGCCACACGGTGTAAGGTCTGGTGATCTTGCTTGCCATTTTATTGGGGCATCAACTCCAATCTCCACTTCCAATCCATCGACCAGGATATTGTTGATTTAAATATTGCCAAACAGCCACATTGTAAAATGTGGCGGAGCACCATCGTGCATGAACCACATATCGCGACGAAGTAATAAAGGAAAATTTTCTAACAAATCCGGTAACGACTGTCTCAATAAATTTAAATAAACTTCGCCATTTAACCGATTTGGTATTATTGTCGGTCCAATGATGTTATCGCCAATAATTCCAGCCAAAACATTGACTTTGAATTGATGCTGATGATGGACTATCTGGATTTTCTTCAGCATAAACATGATCGTTACGCATGCTAGTGATACCAGATCTAGTAAACGTCTGTCAATAATATCCTTCTACTAAAATGTGGGTCGTGGATTCTTTCGTTTTGGATAAGTTGGCAGAAGTCAAACGCATTTCGTGATCCACAGGTAAAAGCTTTTGCACTTTTTGAAGGTGGTATGGGTGTAATAATTATCTTTTATTACTCTATGGACAATATGTTTAGAGACTTTTAGTTGATTTCCTAAGCGCCTCGTATTAATTTTAGGGTCTTCTGCCACTCTTTCAAGAACCCTTTCTTCCAACTCTACATTTCGTCTTGTACGTTGACATCCACGGTCTGTGTGTTTTGGTTTCAAACTACCTGTTTCCCTGAGACGCCTTACGATATTTCCAAATATTTGGAAATATGGTACTCGATGATTAGGAAACTTTTCCCTATAAACTCGAACGCTTTTGAGACCATTAAATTGACATTGGTCATAAACTAAAATTATATCTACTTGCTCATCATATGTGTAAGTATCCATTGTAAAAATAACGTTAAACGCGACTTATTGATGTTACCTGACAGTGTACTAGAGTTATGTTTTATCATATGCTTTGAGGATCATTGAATTCCAACGCTTTTGATCAATTAATGATATTGCATTCACGTTAAACATAAATTGCAATAGACTGCCTAAGTCTGACAACATCTCTGTGACGTCAAGTCTTAGGTTGTCTATTAGTTGAAATCAGTGCCAACTACGATAACTAACTTTTGTAACTGCAATGCCGTAAACAAGGCATGTAGATATTTAAAAATACCTTTTTTCTGGCTTAACCACTTATGTACTCAAAATCTTATAAGAGAAAAAAACGGTTTAGAACTAAATGAGATATTCAGAAATTATAATAATGTAATTGTCGCCTCGCCAGAAAATAAAAATATGGAGTAATATCCGGTGAACACATGAATTTTCCATCATTTCTGTGATTCTAAAATTGTATCAAAAACCATAAAAAGACGTTAATTGAAGCTAGGAACTCAGTTCTGAAAAATGGTTTCAATTGATTTACGCGTTTTCGAGTTATAAAAAATACAAGAATTTTGTATACAGGTGTTTCAGGTTTTTGTAGCAGGACTTTATCAGTCGATAGATCTTTTAAAATTAACACAAAAACTTCATATAAACATAGGTCGACAAACGCTTCGTTTTGGAGATACAGGCTGTTTAAATTAAATTTTTAAATTGATTTTTATTTAACGTGTATTTCAACCGATTCTTTACAAATTTGCTATACGGAGGTTTTTTGGCATGAGAAAGACGATTATGGAGTCCGTTTTATTATAACCGGTAGAGGGCGCTCTGTAACGTATTTTTTACGGATTGAAATAACAATAACTTTCCTGACAGTATACCTTTTGGCTTTTTGAATAAAAATTTTTATTCTGTGTACTTTTTAAGCAAAAATGGTACTCTTATCGAAAAGATAGTTAAAATAATGTGTGCCATGAAAACAAAGTAGGTGAATTAACTAATGTTTTGGTTTATTAATGTTTTTTAATCTAAATAATAAAAGAAAAAAATTAAATAAATTGCTGAAAATGTAAAAAATTTTGCTTGCATAATTCTTAATTACTCGATAAGTAATTCGTCGGACAAGCATTCCTAATCCTATCAAAAGTTCATCCCTTGTGGGAACAGGTGTCTCATACAATTTTCCTTTCAAATATCTCCAAACAAGAAAGTCAAAAGCATTAAGATCTGCTGATCGTGGGGCCATGCGACTGGTCCATCACGACCAATCCATCTTGCAGGAAAATGGTTGTCTCGCCAACCATTTTCTTACCACCCTACCATGATAAGTTGCACAATCATCAAGTTGAAACCAGGCCTTTCTTCTGAAAGCTAAATCAATGTCATGCCACACATCCCACAAGAACGCCGTAACGGTTAGTTGTGGTGGCAAAAAGTATGGCCCTAAAAGATGATTATTATAAACACCTACCCAGACGTTGACACTAAATTCATGTTGGAAGTTTCGTGGCCGAATTGCGTAGGGATACCAAAACATGTAAATTGTGAAAGTTTACAATCTTATGTCTTGTGAAAGACGATTCATCGTTCCACATTACATTATTTAAAAAATCTCGATTATTCGCTGATGCTTTAGCAATCCACCGACAAAACGTTACACGCCGTTCTTCATCGACTGGTTGCAGTCTTTGCAAGGGTTGTAAATGATAAGCATGTCTATGATCATGTTTTAAAAGGCGATAAGCACGCGCCCTAGAAATTCGTAAGGCATTCGAAACTCTTCTAACACTCGCAGTGGGGTCATTGTCGAACTCACGCAAAATTCTTCTTCTAACGTTTCTTTGCAGTCTAACATTGTCATTATTACGATCTACCCATCATTATTTAGACATTTTCAACTATTTGTGTATGCACTTTCACAAACACAGAAGGATGCGGATGTCTTCTATGTGGATATCTTGTCCTATACTCTAGGGCTACTTCTGCTGAATTTCCATTTGCAAACCCATAAACAAAATGAATATCCGCTAACTTTTGGTTAGGAAAAATAAACGGCATTTTATAAAGTTTTATGCAGCAAACAAAAAGTGGAAAAAAAACAGTTTGACCTGATTAGGAAAAACAGTAATGAATTTAGCACGTTAATAAATAAGAAAATTGAATTTAACACGTTAACGAATAAGAAAAATTAATTTACACTGATCAACAACTACTGGTGATTTGCTACACTTGATGCAATAAACTAAAATATTAGTGAACTTACCTACTTTGTTTCAATGGCAAACATTATTATACCTATCTTTAACAATTCTCTAAAAAAATTGGTCTATATCGAATAATAAAAAACGAATTATCTTGAAAACGATCAACTTTAGCGCATTTTGATAAGAGTACCGTTTTTGCTTAAAAAAGTACCGAGAATAAGAATTTTTATTCAAAAAGCCAAAAAGTATACTGTCAGAAAAGTTATTGTTATTTTAATCCGTAAAGAATACGTTACAGAGCGCACTCTACCGGCTATAGTAAAACGGACTCCATAATATACCAAATTTGAATAGAATCTGTTGAAATACACGTGTAATATTAAATAAAAATCAATTAAAAAATTTAACTCAAACACCGTGTATCTTCAAAACAAAGCATTTGTCATCCTATGTTTATACGAAGATTTTGTGCTAATTTTAAAAGATCTATCGACTGTTAAAGTCCTGCTACAAAAACCTGAAACACCTGTATAGGCGTCCGCACCAAGATCCGGAATTCCGATTTATGATGGTGTACATAAACACGTCATAAATAAAAAGGTGTCTTTTGGGTTCACACAAATCAGGCACGGCATAAGCATAATTTAGCAGAATCAGATAGTGATGAAGAAATACCTTCTGATAGTGATTCTAAGTTCGGGCTTTAGGCTTACGTTTTCGATGTTATTAATATTATTATTATTATATAGTTTACTGACCAATAAAGTTAAGTATAATGAACTCAAAGAAATTCGTTGGTACGTCCCTGACTTTCTAAACTATACGGGGTTCTCCGTCTCATCTCACGTAGAAACCGCACAGAAACAGAGGTCTACAATTTATGGAGGTTGTAATTCCGGATCTTGGTGTGGACGAGTATAATACAGTAAATTAAAATAAATTTTAAAAGAAGTAAGTGTGGTGTTACTTAATTGGATAATTATATATTTTGATTCAACACATTAAGAAGTATCCATGTTCCAATTCTACACAAAAATATAGGAGTAACATTTATTTCAATTACTTACAGAATCTAATGTCATTCCCATAGATTGTCCTCGATCTGGATCAACAATATCCAGAACTAATTGACCTAATGATGACGTATCCTTTGCAAAACACGCTAAAGCCGGAAACGTCAACAAAATTATTTCGAGAACTTTTCGCCAAATACTTTCTGATACTACCGTTGAAGATTTGAATACGATGAGTAAAATATTTTCGGCAGTTTGACGAACCTAAAAATTAATACTATCTCACAATCTAAAAAAGTGCATTTAATGGAAAATTATTAAGCATAAGTAAATAGTAAATCAATGCATATTTAATAAAAATGAATAAAATACTTACGTCATTATCCAGTGAAGATAACCCCTCCAAAATTATTTTGTTGAAAATTTTACAATTTAATAAAAATTCGATGTTACTATTTTTTAATATTGTAGATTTGATGCACATATTTGGACCCATTGTTTTAGTGAACTTATCCAACAGCATTTTATACATTTTTAATTTTAGACCAATATCTTTATGAGCTAATAAACTACATAACATTTCTAAAATAAACGACATTACAAAAAGAGCAGATCAGAGCTAATACCACACCATTAAAATCATCATCTTGAACAGTATTCTCCAAAAATATATTCGCAATTCGCATATCTTTATAGAAAGTCCAAGTTTTCAAAGCCAATTTTATATCATCCATATTAAATTCTTTAATATCGCACGCCTCATTAGTTTTGGTTCTTAAAAGTTTTACCGCTGTCAAAAAACTGGCGTAAATATCTTTTAGAGAAAGGTAGTTGTTTAAATTTTCGAGTTTTATAAGCTACAAATGTTATCTTTATTATATTGGATTTAAATCCTTTTTACCCATTGGGTTAACACAACCAAGGGTAAATAAGATGTGGAGAAGTTGATAAAGGGTACAATTATGATCGAAAAATGTATTCCAATCAATGCAAAAAAATCTTTCGAATAATAAACCTATTTTCGATTTTAAACATTTTCGAGCATTAAGTCTATCCCTTTATATGTACTTACCTGCGCATATTCTAACACTTCATCATAAATTTGTGGATAAAAAAGCATAATAGTAACATCAGAAGCTATCGTGATTAAAACCTCTTTTACAGGTCCAAAATATAAATTAGAATTTGAAGGCAGTAACAATTTTGAAATGTTTAAAAACGTTATAATTAAACTTATATAAATTATGTAAAGCTGCTGATTATAATCTGCACAAATTATACTTAATCTAAAAAAAGTTTTACTAATTACATAAGTATTTCTTACTTTTTAAATACTTACGAAATCTTACAAATAACTTGAGCAAATTTATTTAAAGTCTTATTTAATAGATTCAATAGTTTTTTATTAGCTTGAAAAAACTGATTTGTAATATGAACAAGATCATAGATTAATTGTAATAACACCATATAAAGATGTAGCTGCAATAATAAGTTAAATTAAGAAATCTTATGGAAATCAAAAGTAACCAATTTTTATACCTTTTCAGAATGTATTAAATTCGATCCTAAACCATTAACTGATAAGAACTCTTCCAAAGACCATTGCAAATTTTGTAAACAATAAATAATTACAGTATTTTTATCACAAGCACATTCATTTTTTAATTCTTGCTCAGCCTTCTCAAAAATTTGTTTCTTAAACACCAAAGTTACTTATTTAACTTAAGTAATTAATATTAATAAATACTTACATTAAACATTAAATTATGCATTGCAGGATTGGAACAATAATTAATATGGCAACGCAATGCTTTGGTAAACTTTAAAAAACACTTGGCTACAATTAATTTGATTTCGGACGAATCATTCGAAATAAAAATATTTTCGAGTTCCTAAAATTCATCTTATTAAAACTAGTAACAAATTAGAATACATATTTTAATAAAAAATTAATAAATACCTTTAAAATGGTCCGTAATTGAAGAAAAACTTGTGGGGAAAAGTCACGAATTAGGATATCCATAAAAAAATAGCAAGTTCGTGAGAGTTCGTCTTCATCGCCGCTCTTTAAAGACGCTTCAACCGATTCCAAAATGTGCGTGTCAGTTTCCACTAATGGTTGAACGCAATAAAACAAATCACAATTTAATAGATTTGAGCTTTGAGATAATCTAGAAGAAGAAGCTTAAATTACAAAAAAACGAAGTGACACAAGAAATTTTGGTCAGATTATGAATATTTGATGTCCCACAAGAAGGATCAAAAACATTAAATGACAATACTGCCAACTATACTGGGTGAGTTTTTTTCCATGACTAGTATGGAGATTTCGAAAACTAGCGGAGATAGAGAGATGATTAAATAGGGAAAGAATTGCAGTTTCTTAAACTCAATTTAAAGAGCTTTTTATTTTTTGAATGAAATGCATGGCTAACTAGATATCTCAAAAAAACCGTTTCTTTGTTATACAGGGTGATTTACATAAGAACCGACACAGAGCACGAACATGTAGAGGATAACAAATTAAGATGATTTAACGTAACTAAGTTGTACACCTGAGGACTCATAGGCCTTCAAAGTTGGGTCTTAAATTTTTGAAAAGTTCAATATCTTCGTAATACATTAAGCTATAAATACCAAATTTGGTATACGGTATGAGTGTACAAAGGGTATTAATTGGTAGCAAATTGAACTCAATTGAGGCATTTCAAAGGGTTGATTAAGGGTGATGGTACCCTAAATTTTGACAGATTTTTTTAACCTTTTGGCGGATTTAATACATTACTACTTCATTTCATGTGCAATTTAATTCAAAATTTAGGGGACCATCACCCCTAATCAACCCTTTGAAATGCCTCAATTGGTTTCAACTTGCTATCAATTAATACTCTCGGTACACTCATAAAGTATGCCAAATTTGGTTTTTCTAACTTAAGAAGTAGAACAGTTGAATTTGAATCTACGCCTCGTGTCCAATATATTATTGGGAGCACATTGTGTTCTATGATATTTTTTTAACGCGTATTTTTTTAGATGAAATTGAAATGTACATGAGATACTTCACCAATGTAATGAATAGAGCAAAACTAAAAAAAAACGCGTATCACGTCCTGCGAAAATTTTAAGGTGCATCGTTTAAACATTACGTGCGTCACACTTTTCATTATGTATTAATTTGTATAATAAAAAGTAATTATCCAATATTTGATTACAAGGTATCATTAAATTCGCATTTTTTAGCTCTATTAGAAAATGTTATAATATACGTACTATACATATAATAACATTTTTAATATACAGGTGTCCCACGTAAGCAACAAAGTACATAAATGGCATTAAAGAGCCGAGATACACAGTTCTTCCTTAGACAAAAGTCGTAGCAAATTTAGCACACTATAAACGGAAAATACTTTTATACATACTGGTTGTTCTATCTATCTTATACAGAATGTTTAAAAATGTAACTACTGTTTTACCATATTCAATTGCAAAAAAGTCTAAAATTTTAATTTAATTCTCTACAAATCTTCACTACATGTCCCTATACCTATCAGTTGTAGTTTTTGAGATATTGTGGGACTAATCAATATCATGCAAAGTATTCCAGATCTTGTTCATTTTTTCATTAGTACGCCATGAAATAAGACGATAAATAATTTTTAACCAAACTTTAGTTATAAGTATTCAAATATCTGCCATCTGTGCTTTATGCATAGATGAAGTCGATTTACGAATTCGGATTGCACATTATCTAGTGTTTCAGCAGAGATATTTCTAAAGTTTTCCCTTATTCATCATATCTTCTTTCGTCGTTGGAATATAAGCGTACCATCTTTAGGTTTTGACATATCCCCAAAGGAAGAAGTCGCGCGGAGTTAGATCAGGTAATCTTGCCGGCCACGGTATTGGACCTCCACGACCAATTCCATATCCAATATTTAAAAAGTTTTGAAAAACATCCCTGAAATAAGGTGCAGGTGCCCCGTCGTGTTGAAATATCATTTTTTGTCTAGTTTTTAAATCTGTATCTTCTAGCAACTCTGGCAACTCTTCTTCTAAAAATGTTTTGCAAATTTGTCCCGCCAGTAAGCCTAGTTATTTTACGGTTAAATATTCAGCCCCAAACATTTAACGACCATACATTTGAATTATTTATGCGCCTTAGCAATAAAGGATTTTCGGTTGCATAATATGCATGATTATTATGTCAATTTACTAACCCGTTACTTTTAAAAGTAGCTTCATCACTAAACAGAATTGATGATACGAAAAGAGGGTTTTCATTTATTTCATCTAAAGTTGTCGTACAGAAAGCTACTCTGTTAGTAAAATCATCTCCATGAAATTCTTGGTGGTAGTTGTGAAACCTTATAATTCAGTTTAGTGAGCTTTTACTCATATCTGTTGCTCTAGCGATCTGTCGTGTACTTACATACGTATTCTCTTACACACTTAATGAAACATTTAGTTCATTGTTCTCTTCTCGAACTACATACGACCTTTTTCGACGTTTAGATATGTTGACACTTCCAATATCTTCAATCTCCAATATCAGTTCGTTATCGAAACATCGCCTGCTCGGACGTCGGGCATTTCGGTATCTTTCACGATATACTCTTTGAGCAAGACTAGTATTTCGTTGACATTATCTCAAAATAAAAACCATGGTCACAAATTCGTCTTTTTTGTAATTCATAATCAAGCATTAACCAATAAACAACTAGGCTATTAATAAAAATATGACATTTAAAAATTCGTTTAATTTGTCATCGTTAACTCTTTTTTTTTTAATTTGGATCAAGTCAATGCTTACCACCTGTGAAATTACAAACAATTATGGCAGCATCACTTGAAAGCTGTCAAACGCATATATTTCATGGCCTACTAGTAGAAAAATAAAAAAAATCTGCCATTCTTTGCACGATTTTGATTCATTCCGCTCTATTTCAACAAATGCAACAGATAGGTATAGGGACATGTAGTGAAGATTTGTAGACAATTGAATTCTCTATCTGGTAAGCTAATCAAAAATGGGGTGTTCCATTAAAAATGTTCACCTTTTATGCAATTGAATATGGTAAAACAGTAGTTACATTTTTGAACATCATTTTGAACATGTATAAAAGAGACAGATGTAACCCATGGCGCTCTAATAAGCGTTTTATTGTTTATTAATATTTACAATTTTCCCTTTAATACATTCTACCATACAGGGTGTTTCAGGTTTTTGTAGCAGGACTTTAACACTCGATAGATCTTTTAAAATTAACACCAAAATTTCATGTGGCTGAAGTTAGATTCATATTCGAATCTGTACCAGATTCAGATTCATAAAATTACAGTTGACCAGACAAGTATTGAACATATCAATTGAAAAATCGTTTTCTGAAACTACAGAAGTTGTAGCAATCTGCGGCTACCCTGGATAATTCCGAATAGACCCTCTAGTATGTTCCCTGTCTACCCTCACCCTCAGATTTGCCGTAGGGGCCGAGCGGTTCCTCGTTTTCAATAGCATACTTAGATATTATTTTCTCAATAACTAGAGACTGCAGCACCCTGGGACTAGTTTAAATGATTGCATTAGGTCCTCTGGTATCCTTCTAGCACATCATCACCCCCAGATTTGCCGTAGGGAGCGAGGGGTGAATTTTTTAATACTCCTCGTTTTCAATAGCAAATTTAAACGTTATTTTCTCAATAACTAGAGACTGCAGCACCCTGGGACTAGTCTAGATTATTGCATTAGGCCCTCTGGTATCCTTCTAGCACACCAGCACCCACAGATTTGCCGTAGGGGCCAAATGGTGAATTTTTCAATATTCCTCGTTTTCAATATCAAATGTAAACATTATTTTCTCAATAATTAGAGACTGCAGCACCCTGATACCAGTCTAGATTATTGCATTAGGTCCTCTGGTATCTTTCTAACCCACCAGCACCCCCAGATTTGCCGTAAGGGCCGAGGGGTGAATTTTTTAATATTACTCGTTTTCAATATCAAATTTAAACTTTATTTTCTCAATAACTAAAGACTGCAGCACCCTGGGACTACTTTAGATTATTGCATTAGGTCCTCTGGTATCCTTGTAGCCCATCAGCACCCCCAGATTTGCCGTAGGGGCCGAGGGGTGAATTTTTTAATATTCCTCGTTTTCAATATCAAATGTAAACATTATTTTCTCAATAACTAGAGACTGCAGCACCCTAGAACTAGTCTAGATTATTATATTTAAAACTGATGTAATATTTAGTTTGATATTATAATTTCATATTGCTTTTACTTCTCTTAGTAATGAAACTTGAGCGATATGGATTCAGGGGACCAGCCAACGATATTATAACATTTTATTTAAATAATTATAACATCTTATTTAAATAATAGGTCACACTCTACTAAAGTCATAAGCTTAAAAAGTAAGACTGTAATTTCTACTAATAAAACTACACTCTACGGTGTCTCACAGGGTAGTATACTGGGACCGCTTTTGTTCGTTATCTTTATAAATGACCAACTCTTCAGCCTGAATTGTCACAAAACGAATTATGCTGATGACACCAGCCTTGTAATTACTAGGTCAACACAATGAAATGATCCATAAAACGTGTACTACTAACTAACGTGTGAATTGTGGAAAAGTTGGTTCAGCCGCAATAAGTTAGCTATGAATGGGTTTATATGAACGTGTGTGACTGTGTTCAATTAGTTTCAATTTTTATTTATGTCTTCTTCTGTCTTAACCCTTTCGCGACTCCTGGTACACATATGCACCACTAAGTTTTATGTAATCGTCGCGAAAGGGTTAAATAACACTAAAATTTGTGTTATTATCTGTAATATTTTTATTACAACAATTTATGTTAGCATTAGGTGTCTTCAAAAAAATAAGGAATAAAGAAAGGTTAGAAAGACACCAGAGAACCTAATGCAATAATCTAGACTAGTATCAGGATGCTGCAGTCGCTAATTATTGAGAAAATAATGTTTAAATTTGCTATTGAAAACGAGGAATATTAAAAAATTCACCCTTCGGCCCCTACGGCAAATCTGGGAGTGTGGGTGGGCTACAAGGATACCAGAGGATCTAATGCAATAATCTAGACTAGTCCCAGGGTGCTGCAGTCTCTAGTAATTGAGAAAATAATTTTTAACTTAGCTATTGAAAACGAGGAATATTGAAAAATTCACCCTTCGGCCCCTACGGCAAATCTGGGGGTGCTGATGGGCTAGAAGGATACCACAGGACCTAATGCAATAATCTAAACTAGTCCCAGGGTGCTGCAGTCTCTAGTTATTGAGAAAATAATGTTTAAATTTGCTCTTGAAAACGACGAATATTAAAAAAATTCACTCCTCGGCCCCTACGGCAAATCTGGGGGTGCTGGTGGGCTAGAAAGATACCAGAGGACCTAATGCAATAATCTAGACTAGTATCAGGGTGCTGCAGTCTCTAGTTATTGAGAAAATAACGTTTATATTTGCTATTGAAAACGAGGAATATTAAAAAATTCACCCCTCGCCCCCTACGGCAAATCTGTGGGTGCTGGTGTGCTAGAAGGATACCAGAGGGCCTAATGCAATAATCTAGACTAGTCCCAGGGTGCTGCAGTCTCTAGTTATTGAGAAAATAATATCTAAGTATACTATTGAAAACGAGGAACCTCTCGGCCCCTACGGCAAATCTCAGGGTGAGGGTAGACAGGGAACATACTAGAGGGTCTATTCGAATTATCCAGGGTAGTCGCAGATTGCCACAACTTCTGTAGTTTCAGAAAGCGATTTTTCAATTGATATGTTCAATACTTGTCTGGTCAACTGTAATTTTATGAATCTGAATCTGGTACAGATTCGAATATGAATCTAACTTCAGCCACATCAAAATTTCATATAAACATAGGTCGACAAACGCTTTGTTTTGGAGATACAGGATGTTCAAATTAAATACTTAAATTAATTTTTATTTAATATTATACGTGTATTTCAAACGATTCTATTCTAATTTGGTATAAGAAGGTATGAGAAAGCATTTTTGGCATGAGAAAGCCCATTATGAAATCTGTGTTACTATAGCCGGTAGAGGGTGCCCTGTACGTATTCTTTACGGATTAAAATAACCATAACTTTTCTGACAGTGTACTTTTTGGATTTTTGAATAAAAATTTTTATTCTGTGTACTTTTTTAAACAAAAAAGGTACTCTTATCAAAATGCGCTAAAGTTGTTCGTTTTCAAGATAATCCGCTGTTTATTATTCGATATAGACCAATTTACTTAGACGAGATCATCGAGATACATATAATTTACTAGAGTACGTGCTCACGATATTCGCTTGGTCGAGAAAACGGTCCGATACGCCAGCATGTTCCCCCACCCCATAACGGCAAGAAATACAAATAGCACTAACTAATGGATATTTATTCAATATTTACTAAGTAATTCAAATAATGTTATTCAATAATGATGAAAAATACAAAATAATACATATTTAAGTTATTAGTTAGGAAAAAAATATATATATAATTTTTTTTCCGTAGCTTTTTGGGGTTATGGGGTGGGGGAGGCCGGCTCGTTTTCTAGCTCAAAGCACGCACTCCAGTAAACATAGTATATCTCGATGGAGGAGATACTTAAAGATAGGTATAATAACGTGTGTCAAGGAAACAAAGTAAGTTCACTAATACTTTAGTTTATTGTATGAAGTGTCAAATCACCAGTAGTTGTTCATCAGAGAGTTAAATTAATTTTTCTTATTCGTTAACGTGTTAAATTCATTACTATTCTTCCTTAATGTGTTAAATTAGTTTTTTTTTAATTTGTAATTTTTTTGTTTTTTGCATAAAAACTTTATAAAATGCCGTTTATTTTTTCTAACCAAGATAGTGGATATTCATTTTGTTTATGGGTTTGCAAACGGAAATTTAGCAGAAGCAGCCCGAGAGTATAGGAGAAGATATCCAAATAGAAGACATCCGCATGCTTATCATTTACAACCCGTGCAAGGATTGCAACCTGGCGATGAAGAACGGCGTGCTCCGTTTTGTCGGTGGATTGCTAATGCAATAGCCAACAATCGAAATTTTTTAAATAGTATAATGTGGACTGATGAATCCTGTTTCACAAGACGTGGAATTGTAAACTTTCATAATTTACATGTTTGAGCGCATGAAAATCCGCACGCAATTCGGCCACGAAACTTCCAACATGAATTTAGTGCCAACGTCTGGGTAGGTGTTTATAATAACCGCATTTTCGGGTCTTACTTTTTGCCTCCACGACTAAACGCTGCGGCGTTCTTGCAATTTTTGGAAGCCGAACTTGCCAATATGTGGGGTGACATTGATTTAGATTTAAGAAGAAAGGCCTGGTTTCAACTTGTTGGTTGTCCAGTCCATCATGGTAGGGTGGCAAGAAGTTGGCTAGACAACCATTTTCCTGCAAGATGAATTGGTCGTGGTGGACCAGTCGCATGGCCCACACTATCTGCAGATCTTAATCCTTTAGACTTTTTTGTATGGGGATATTTGAAAGGAAAAGTGTATGAAACACCTGTTCCCCAAGGAATGAACTTATTAATAGGATTAGGAATGCTTGTAATGATATAAGGCCGTTCTTAAATAAAATTACTCGATCAGTCATTCGTAATAATTTCAGGACAGTGGCCACTCCAACAATCCAGTAATAGTAATGATTTAGGTCCGGTGTTTGGGAAATAGACATTTTGTAGCCAATTTTTCATATGAGCAGAAGTGAGTTAACCAGACTTTGATGCCAAGACGAATATGTTATCTGCTTTGAACAGTGTACTATCTAACGTATAAAAAATCATCGTGGTAAATTGCACCAAAATCGACAAACCATAGCTATCCTCAGCTACCCTTAAATGTCGTATAGGGTTTATTTTACTGCGTAAATCTTAATTTGCAACTAATTTATGGTTTTCTTCAAAATATTCTTCAAAAGTGTAACAGTTTCACGAAAACGAAACGTTGGAGAAAATTTCTAGTTGTATCATGACATTTTTCTTAAAAAGTTGCCTTACGAATGTTTTTTCAGATGCACAAACAAACGAAAAATAAAGAAGTTATAGGCAAAAAACGAAAAAGTCATATTTTTCTTTTTCGGCCATATTTTAAAAACTAAAACGGCTAGATCCAAAAGCTTTTTTGAAAATGATGGGCTCTAAGATACGCAATTTTGCTCTCATTTAACCATTTCTGTATCTCTTATGATTTCTGGGATCCCAATGGTGGGGGTCGAATTTGAATTACCCTGTATGCTAAGTTACTTACAAGGGAAGTATCAGAACTGTCCCTCACCGATTTTGTTGAAATTTGGTACAGCGATAGTATGGCCAAAAATAAGGTTTACGTATTTTTTTATACGTGCTAATAAAACCCCTGGGGCGAGTTATAAGGGTTGGAAATCGGAGCAAAATATATATATATTCGCTTATAGGCTAAAAACGAAAATAGCTATCGAAATGTGATAAATGTAAACTGATATTCATTTTCAAAGAGCTTTCTATTGATATATCGCACATATATCTGAGGGCTTCAGCGGGTAAACTACCCCTAGGTTTTTGGAATATTTTAAAAACTACCCTGTCGACTTTGGCGATATTATGTGTCCTTATAGTACGTTTAAAAATATTAATGGCGTGCTAGGGTTAATTACCCTAACCACCCCAAAAATTTTCATTGTTCATTGTAAGAACTTACAAGGGTTAGAAGTTTCGGTAGAAAATATATTTTCGCTAATAACTTTCATACTCCTACAGAAAAAGCTTTTTTATCCTTATTCTATTTAAATAAGACAAAAGTTAGGATAATTATATAAATATTTATTAATAATTTAAATTATTAATAAATATTAACATTTAAATAACTAAAGACACGTATTTCGTAATATTACTTAAAATAAGCGAAAATTCAGTAGTCGGCTATGAAATTGTATGTCAAACTTGACAAATAGGTAATAAAGTTAGTTGACGCCAAGGTTTTATAACCTATTTGTCAAGTTTGACGTACAATTTCACAGCCGGTTACTGAATTTTCGATGATTTTAAGTAGCATTAACGAAATACGTGTCTTTAGTTTTTTGAGTTTTTTATGAAAACGACAATGTTTTTTAAAGAATAATAAGAGTAAAAAAAGTTTTAGAATTAAATTCCACATGAAATGAGGTAATAATGTATTAAATCCACCAACCAGTTAAAGAAATCTGTCAAAATTTAGGGGACTATCACCCTTAATCAATCCTTTGAAATGCTTCAATTGGTCTCAACTTGCTACCAATTTATACCTTCGGTACACTCATAACATATATCAAATTTGGTTTTTCTAGCATAATATGTTACGAAGATATTCAATGTTTTAAAAATGTAAGACCCAACTTTGAAGGCCTATAACTCCTCAGGGGTACAACTTAGTATAGAGATAAGTTGCTTTAAATCATCTTAATTTATTGTCTTCTACATGTCCCTGCTCTTATGTGAATCACCCTATCACTTTCAATTGATATCAAAGATCATAACAGCTCCTAACCATTCAGTCATATTTTAAAATTACTACTTACTGCTTTGTAATGGTATATTAACACATTTATTTTATTCATGGTCTAAGCTTTTTTTAAATATTATCTATACTTATATTCATATTCTATACTTACGGAGATTGTTGTTCATTTTCTGGTGAATTATGCACAAAAATGTTAATTGAAGTAGCTGTGGACCCAACTTTTGAAACAGCTTCACAATCAGATCGATAACTTAAGGGAATTTCTGACACCAGAGGTGGAACCAAAGCTTTTACACTTTGATTTTTATTTTCTACATATTTTATTAGCTCATCAACTTCATTCACAAGACAACCATTTACATGTACACGAACGTTAAGAAGACTTTTTATTATTTCTTTTGAGCCAAAATGATTAATTAATAATTGACCAGTTTCACTCTGCAATATAAACAGATATCTTTTAGAATAACTTAAATCTTTTGTTTTAAAAGATGTAAATTATTAGATGTAGTTTAATTACAAAAATTATATCCTCTAAATTGTACCTTTAAAGTAGTTCCAATTAATTCCAAAATAAAATTCTTCATGGAACAATCATCAAATTCAAATAAATTAAAGCATTTGGTTAAAATTTCTTGTTGCCGGGCATAAACGTTATCATAAGGCAATCCAATTTGAATCTTTGAGAGAATATTCTTCAAGGCCCTTTCTCTTACTTCTAATAGTTTATGATCTTCAAAAAAAGTTTATTGTCATTAACATTATTTCAAAACAATAACAAAATATGAAAAAAAAACATACCTAACTTAGAAATGTGTGTTTTTGAAATATAATGATCATTCATTTTGTGTATTCAACTTCAATTTCCAATTCGAGAAAACTTTGTCAATTTAGGTATATCATATTATTTACATCTGTTGAACATTACATTACATTGGCAGTAAGTTTTAAATACGTTTTAACAGCCGGTGGTAAATTAACATGATATTAGTATATCCAATTCTCAAAGATATTTGGTATCTTTATTTATTGTTTTACAATCGTTTAAACTTTTATAGACAAACTTATGAACTTATAGTTGTTGTATACAATACGATTACTTAAGGAATGAAGTGGGAGAATACAGCAACGGTTTACATTCGTAAAATAGCGTTGGTACCACTATTGCTCAGTAGATGACACATCCTTATTCAAACGTTCAAAACTCTGATAAAAATTATTAATACTGTTAAATCAATCGCTTCAATTTAGGAGCATAATTTTAGAGATTATGTATTTGACTTTAGGTTCAAAATGACACTTAGAAATGCCAACTTTGACGTTGATGACATTCAACGTCAAAAATGGGAAATGACATTTTGAATTTAATTTTAGTACCAATATCAGAAAATTTAAAAATTTGTTAATACGAAAGTTTAAGCAATAATATTAATTTAGATATCCGAGATCGACAAGTACCTCGAATTATTGAATATGTACACTAATTTTTCGTTTATTTGTTTTATTTTGTATGTAGACTTTGATTGTATATAATCAAAGAATGTAGATTTAATTTACGGTAATAATTCGAAGTTGACGATCTCGGATATCTAGATTAATGATATAAAATAAATTTAAAAAAATGTTAATTTTTTTTCAAAAATTTGCTGATGTAAGGGTACAAAAATTGTACGTCAGCGTAAAGAGAAAAGAAATCTCTATCAAATGAGCGTAACGAATGGATACATTGCTATTTAAAAAAATTCAAGTGTTATTCGTTACTCATTTGTTTTCTGATTTAAAAATATTAAACAACTTTTGTATAAAATTTTTTTTTTTATAATGTCAATATTTAACGAAATATATTATGTACTTATATTCCATACATAATGGGCATTCTGTATAGATGGCCCACTCCGCCGATTTTTTCCTCTGTAACATTATTTCACCTTTTACAAGGAGAGAGATTTTAGTCCATTTTTAACCTTTAAACTGCGTTCTTTTCGTTTTCACCAGACAATATGTTATTTATCTGTTCCAGAGTAATAATTTTTCATGTGGTGTATTGCTTTCATTGTCTTTGATTTTTTTGTGATTATAATCCCTTCTGACTCTGCTTCTCTCAATTCCTCTTCGTGTGTGTCAAATAGTTCCTCAACATCGTTTCTTGCATGTCATATCTGCAACCCTTCCTTGTGACACACGACGTGCAGCGTCTACAACATCTTCAGCTGCTTGTTCGATAAGAATGAAATTGTCGCAAGCACAAATAATTGCCTCCTTCCATAAATTTTTCCAGCCATTGTTTAAAGTGTTTTGTTTTAATTCTTTGATAGATTCATTTAATAAGAGTTAAGGAATGCGCGACTGACGAGGTATTCCAAATTTTTATTACAGATAAGTTATGTGTGTAGTGTTTGGAGGAAGAAACACTACCTTAATATTTGGATGCGCTGATATTAATTCTTCAGAGGGATGTCCTGTATCGTTATCTACAATATTAATAATGCTTTAAAACCAAAATTTTTACCATATAAACAACAAAAGATTTACCAATCTAAAAACATTGAGATCCATCAATCTCCTGAAGCATTTGAACACAATAACAGGGTTGCTCGACAATTTTAAACTTTGAAACCTGAAGCTCGTTTCTCTTCCTTTGATATTATCGTTCTGTTGGGTAAACGATTCGACAAAAGGCCTGTCTCATCCGCTGTTGTGGCAGATATCTACCTTCTTTGATTATATTTTTGAATTCCATGGGGTATCTTGCTTTAGCTTCATGGTCCACTTATACCTCTTTCTAAATATATCGCAGCATTCTTTACTTGTTTTAAATTGAAAATCTGTCGTTCCATAAACTTCCAGAAAATAATTCTACAATTTGGTGCTTTTCCCATAAGAATGGCTGTGTTGACTGGGAAGTGTTTTTCTGTTTTTTCCAGATTTGGGTTATTTAGGTTTGGTTTAATGATGATTCTGTTCCTTTCTTCACACTTTTCATATAATGTCCGTTATTACCGAATTGTTGAGCAACTTCTATATTTTTTCACCCTTCACCCAATAGGTTCAATATCTTTATTTTATTTTTTAAAGTAAGAACCTTTCTTGGCCTCTTTGCTGCTCTTATGGATTTCATTTTAATAAAAAAGAGCAATAAATATATCGATACTACTATAATATTGCAAACTCAGCATTCATTACTTCAGTAGATGCATGCATCTAGCATCTACTGAAGTATACTTATCGTGCACTACATAAACATGTGATGCGCACCTTCACAATCAGCGTCGACATGTTTGTAGAAAATTTTGAATAATAATTAATAGAAAGGTTGGTGTTGCTTCTTCTTAACAAGTTTTTTTTTCTTTGGTTTAGTTTCTGATAAAGCACATCGTAAGTCGTGTCCTACGCTGAGCCGACTTCTAGATTTTGTTTTCATAGAAAGTAAAGTTGAAAAGCCGCTCTCACATTTATATGTATTACCAAATGGAACTAGAATTCTTAAAGTCAGCTAAAATAAAATATTCGCCCAGCATTTTTGTCCAAAACATAGATAGGTCATAATCTTGGAATTCCACCTTTAAGGTACACTACGTCTTCGCGTAGTTGGAGAAACTGAAGTTTAGCTGAAACATCTTTGAAGATTTCATCATCTGTAGAAAATGGTCTTAGTATCCATGAAAAAGCTTGACGATTCTCTATATCCGGGAAATATTGATGCAACGAATCAAACGCCAAGATGGTCACTTTCTGACAGTGAGTATTTTATATTTTAATAGGTAATTTAATTATAATATTTTTTATATTTTTTGTATAGTTTTCGGCTGAAGATGAAGATAAAACTTCGAAACCGGTTCCGATATAAATTAAATAATCTCTGCAAGTGTAAAGTTCATAAATTGTGTTTTATTTTCATATATAATAAGGATAAATGCTTTATCTTTTCTTTTTGTATAAAGATTCTTCTCTTTCTCTGTTTTACGATTTTCAAAAAACAAAGCTATTTCTTCGCGCATTTCAAACACTCTGTTTAAAACATTTCCCATTGACAACCAACGTACTTCAGTGTAGAACACTATTAGTGCATCAAATTTCGCACCAACTTTATGACATAATACTTTGAAAATTCTCGAATTTGTCATTAAACGCGCTCATCAAATTTGAAGGTAGCGTCTTAACAGCCAAAGCGTATCGGTATATCATACAGTGATAAGTTATCATTGTGGGGCAACTTGTTTGACGAATGTTTGAAAACCAGAACAAACACCCATCATGGAAGGCGCTCCGTCAGTACACACACTAACTAACGATGACCTCTTCAGATCATTTTCCTCAAAAAACTGTTTTAGTGTTAGAAATATATCTTCGCCGCGTGCAGTAGGAAACCGAAGAAGTTATTTTTAAAAATATTTGGAAAATATCCGGACCATAAAAACAAATCAAAATCATAAAAGTACTCTAATTACAATAATTCTCATACATTTATATACATTTCAGTGCCTCAGAGGTAAGGTGTGTTAAGTCACATTTTTTGCGTAATGAATTATCTCCACCATGTGTATTTGTTTAAACCTTAACCCATTAACTGTCAACTTTTTTTTTAATTGAAACTTGCCAAGTGAAGTACGTTAAAATTTAAAATCCCCGAATGGGGATCGTGCCAGCTAATGGGTTAAGTCCATTTTCAAATCTCTCTCCTTAACAATTTCGAGTTTGTACCTTACCATTTGTTTGTACTTAACATACCTTACCTCTAGGGTTGCCATTTTTTAAAAGTAACTATAGAGGAGATTCTTAAAAAATATATAGGAAATTCAAAAATTATAGAGGAGATTAAATTTTTCAAATTTCTGAATTTAAATTTATTCTGTGTTACATTTACATATTTGTCCGTAGAGTGAACTTTTTTTAATAATAATTTATCATTTTTTATATAGTCATAAAACTCTTTACATGTCAAATCATAATTTAACGTAATTAGTAATTCCGATTTTACTAAATCAACGCAAGAATTATTTCAGGTTTCGGTCCATTTGTTTCCCATTATACTAAAAATACGTTCCACATAAGCAGTAGTTGCAGGTATACTTAAAATAAATGACAGAATTTGTGAAATACTCGGCAGATCCTGTGTTTTACTTAAAATAGTAGTCCGTTTACAGGAGGTACTACTATTTTTAAAATTATCATCTTGAAAAAGTATATTTACAATTTTGTTTAAAATGTTTACTTCATCAAAGATTTAATCAATATTTACAATGAGGTTTGGGTTTTATAGCTTTTCAAGTAAATTAACAATATCGTGAAATTTAACTGGACTACTTAGCTTTAAATGTGACATTAAATATAGTAAATTATCAGTACTAAAGTCGAACTATTTTTTGATAGCAAACTTAAGGATAATTTAATGTTATTTTCAAATTTTGCTGTCTGACATCTGTCTAAATATTTTAATTTTTGCGTAACAAGATATCCAAAGTAATTTTGATCTAATCGATTAGAAAGTTTATCGTCTACTGTCTTAAAAATATCGTATACACAATAGCATCATAAAATATTTTAAGAAAATTTTCACAAAACAGCAAGTAAATTTCTGGGATTTCATTTTCTGGCGTATCTTCATATGTATCATCTTTTATAAAAAATAATTTTTTGATTTGATTGGGACAATCTCTCATGCTTCTGAAAAAGGAGAGCAAATGGTGCCACGATTTTAAAATTCTTTCTACAGCAGAGTACAAACTTAACCACCTGGTGGTGACATGATGTAGTATTTCTTGATATGAAGCGTTGTAAAATTCAAACATTTCTTTCAAGTTTTCTCTCCTTTTAGCAGATACTGAGAAATGGGGGTAGACCTTAAGAACTAAATTTTCAACATCATAATCTGGTTTATCTAAAGCATGCTTATCAAAGCTTCACACAGTTATGGAGAATGTGGGCATAGCAGTTAGCTTTAAATATATTGCCATTTTGTTGCCTTAAATGAGAAAACAGAGATTTATGTTCCCCAAAATTGGCATTATAATTATCTGCACTGAAAGCACTAACAAAAGCGATTGATAAATTATTAGATTCTAAACAAGCTAATATAACCATAGCTAATGCGCTTTCGTCAGGATTTTCTATAAGTCAAGCTTATTAACGACCCCATAGTCATCTTTAAAATATTGTACAGCTATTACAAAAAATTTCCTGTTTTTTACATTGGAGGCATCAATTTGCACACAATAAAATTTATTTTGTAAATCATCAAGAACTATTTTTTTAGCATTTGGGCCAAGAACTTTAACCGTAATCGCTTCAGACTTGGTACGGCCTAAATGCAGCTTATTTGTTAAACTTTTCTCATTACTCTTACTAAAAATATGCTTGAGCACTTTTATGCCACAGTCGAAACTATTATATGACAAATTGTGTTTTATGTTATGATACAGTAATCCTAATTCATTTGCAGCCACATTGTTTTCTTCTGGTGAATGATTTGGTGTGCAGAAAGTTGTTATTAAATTGTTATTTGCTGCCACTTTTGATTGTGTGATATGTATTTTCGCCAATTCATGCTGTTTTACCTAAACATATGAATATTTAATTAATAATGTTTTAATAATATTTAATTAATAATTATATTTAATATTTAATTATTATGAATATTATTATTATTAATTAATTAGTTAATTAATTAATAATTTAATTAAATTTAATTTTAACATATATTGTATGTATAATGTATTATACAACACATATTTGTATAGGTTAATTTGCTTCTTATACGCTTAGTTGCTTACGGTAGTTAATCCTTGACTTTTAATAGAAAAATCTTTAATACATAAAGTACAGGTGGTTCAAATTCGATGTCCGAATAGGCCAACTCGAAAACTATAAGAGTTAGAAGAAAAGTAGCTGACATGTCATGATCTCGTTATTCGAGAAACTGCTAATGCCGAAAACCTCATAGCGCTATCGTCTTTTGTTTTTCCGCTAGAGGCCAAAATTGAAAATATCGTAAAACCCGCAAATGTAATTATCTTGGTTATTATTATAGGTGGAGTATTAATCATCAAATTCATCAAATTCTCTGTAAAAAAGTGTCCATATAATGTCGTAGTTATAATACTCCACCTATAATAATAACCAAGATAATTGCACTTATTGGTTTTACGATATTTTCAATTTTGGCTTCTAGGAGAAAAACAAAAGACGATAGCGCTATGAGGTTTTCGGCATTAGCAGTTTCTCGAAAAACGAGATCATGACATGTAAGCTACTTTTTTTCTAACTCTTATAGTTTCCGAGTTAGCCTATTCGGACATCGAATTTGAACCACCCTGTACACTAAGCATATTCATCAGTAATTTTAGAAGGTTTTAGCCATTTGTATGTGTTAAACCACTCTTTTCGATAAGTAGATTCTACTTCAGCTTCTTAATGAGTGGAGCTTTTTCTGGTTCTCGTCTATATTTGTATCATTTTCTTTTACTTCGTCACTCATCTTGATCTTATTATACTTTATATTAAATTTAATAGATGCAAAATAGTATATTATTATACTATTTTGCATCACTCAGGTTAATTATGCCACTCGCTACGCTCGTGACATAAACTTAACCTTCGTGAATAATAGCCCATTATATGCGAGTAGAATACTATGCTTTGTCCACGACTATTGAAATTGATTCCATAAATTTATTTTTTAAATAAATTTTTTAAATAAACACGCCCTCTGATGGAGAGTTTCGGTAACCACCGCTTAATAACAGACGTTTTTCTTTAAATAGAGAAATAGAGGAGGATTGAAGAATATTACAGAAGGGAGGAGAGAGCCTGTTAAATAGAGGAAACTCCTCTGAAATAGAGGAGAGTTGGTAACCCTACTTACCTCTGAGGAACTGATTTGTATTTGGCACATTTACTAATATATATAGCAATAAACAGATGGCGCTACATCCGATTTAATATTTTAAAAACTTTTCTAAATGATTATAATTATAGTAACAATTAATATAATATTTCAACACCTTACTTGTATTAAATAAGGATAATATTTTTATTAAACAATCAAATTAACAAGAATGATTATCCTACGTCAACGAACTACATACGTCACAAAACATAAACATATGAGCGACATAACCTAAAAATGCGAAAAATATATTTAAACTAAACTGTAAACACGACAAACATTTTGAAGCAAAAATGGCTTATACGGCAACAAATAAGATGTTCCCGGCGAATCACAAAACGGTGTTCGTTTTAGATCACACTCCATATTTTGGAATATCTTGTGAAAGCACAATCGAGTTCGATTTTCAAAAAGGTCGAAATACCTTCATTCCTATACAACCAATACATAAATCATTATGGACATGTAGTGTTGAATCTGCTATTGAATATTGTAGGATTGTATGGGATTTATTTCCTAGTGGAAAATTGGTTAAATTCATTGTTAGTGATAGTACTTCACACAGCTTAAACACTTGGAGTCATTTACAACAGAATACAAATAATGTAACTAATCTAGTAAAATTTTGCACTTAAATTATTTAATCTTTTTTTCTAAGATTATGAATGGTTTGGCATTAATCGGAACTCCACCATCTCCACCTCAAATAAGATCACCAAGATCTTCAGGCGATTTCACAGTTTTACATGGGCTCAGATCTGCTGTTGAAGCATTAAATGAATCTACAGATATCCAACAGGAGAAAATCAATGAGGAAAGTGGTGTTAAAGTCATTAATAGAGGTAGAATAATTTGTATAACTTCAGCTCGAGATAATGAAAGTATGAAGAGATTAGAAGAGATCATGCTTGGGATTTTGGAGGGACAAAACGAAACAGCCAATAATTCAGAGAGGTATGTTTAAAGTCGCCTAAAATAAAATATAAATTACTTCTTTTATAGCTTAATTCCAATTGATCACTGCCATTTGGTTATTTTAAATACATTTCCCATTAATGTAGAGTCTCAAGTATCTAGCCATGGACCAAAAATTGTATGTAAAATTATTAAAATTTAAAACTAAAAATTTATTAAATCAATTTGTTGAATGTTTTAAAGCTATCACCAAATTTAACAACAGAGGTTCATCCAGTGAAAGCTACCCAAATATCAACTAAATTATCTTCATTAATTCTTCAACATTATGATTTGGGCAGTACAACTGTAACAGGTATTCCAATGAAAGAGGAACAAAACGCAAGTTCTTCAGCGAATTACGACGTTGAAATCTTCCATTCAAGCGATGCCCATGCCACCATTTTAAAGGGAACAACTTCTTGCGATGCGACGACGATAAAAACAGTCAAGGAAGGTTTTGAATATGAAACTGTAACATTAAAATGGTGTACCCCGCGTGGTTGCAGCGCTGCAGAGTTACAAAATTGCACCAAGATGCATAGAATTACTCCTGTGGATGTGAATTCTCGACCCTCTTTATGTTTGATTAATTTTTTGTTGAATGGTCGTAGTGTTATGTTGGAGATGTTGAGGAAGACGGGAGGTAAAATGACAAGTCATTTATTGGCTGCTCACGGTGGGGAGATTTTCATTCACACTCTTTGTACTGCTAGGTAAGTGTATATTATATTTTGAGATAACAAGTTGTGTTTGTCAATCAGTCATAGCAAAATAAATTTATATTAATATGATGATGTTAAAGAATTAGGTGGTTATTAGATTATTTTGCGTTTGTGTCACATCAAAAATGCTATAAAAAAAATGTTAAGTTTATGTTAAAATTGTTTGCCAAGTAATCACTTATATACAGATGTCTCAGCGAGACCGGTCATTAGACGTTTCTGGTGTTCTGGCCAAAATAAAAATTTGAGAATTCAGATTTAAGTATTATCAATTGCGTTCTCTTCGACTAAAATATTTTCAGGTTTCTAGCACTTCCGGTTATACCGGAAGTCGCCACCAGTGTTCCATACAGTGTTCCATTTTTTTAAATGGAACACTGTATATTTTTACATACAGTGCCTCACAAAAGTATTCGGAAAGTCTTGTTGTCACCCAAAAAATGCAAAATACGGTGTTTATTATTTCGATTTTGAGATTAAAAACATTCTTTTATTACAAATAAAGTCTCATATCTTAGACAGAACAAAAATATGATATTAATACATAATTAATACCTAATTTATACATTAAACTGTTATGAATATAGTCACAAAGGTATTTGGAAATTTAAAACACAGTAGGCTATGTAGGTTTTTTTCTAAAATTCTACTACATTACACCAAGGTCTATAGAACATAAGGTTACCCAATACCGATTCTCCTCCTCTGAGAGGCAAGGTGGGTCAGTGACGTAGCTGGTTCTATGAACAACACAACATGATGCGAGGTTTAAATATTTTATATAGACTGTACCACAGTATAGGCACGTATAGGCTTTCTTTTATTCTGACTATATCGAACCAGTGACGTCAATTTGCGGGGTAATAATCGATACTACAGAGGCATAGGGAATGAGGTAACCTTATGTTCTATAAACCTTGCATTACACTACATTAGCAGACAAACACGCATTGCTGTAGGTTACCTATTCAATCTGAATGTAAAGTTTTGGTGAATCATTTTTGATTTAATTAAATTCGGAGAGTGGTGTAAAAAATGGGAAGAAAATCAAAACAGACCACGTTTGAGGAAAGAAAAATAATATTCAATCTGCGAAGGGAAGGTAAAACGTTGCAAGAGATATCAAACGCAACAAATAGAAGCGTGTCAACTATCCATAGCATTCTGCAAAGGAATTCGCTTCAGTTGGGACAGCGATCGGGAAGGCCTGCAAAACTTAAGGCTCGTGATAAAGCTGTTAAAGCATGTCAGTAATGAAACTGTGCGACGAACTCTTAGAGGTGCTGGTTACAATGGGCGTTCTCCACGTATAAAGCCGCTTATAAGTGAGAAAAATCGGAGGAAGCGTTTGCAGTTCGCAAGAAAATACGTAAACCATGGCACCGAGTTTTGGTCAAAAGTAATCTTTAGCGATGAAACCAAATTTAACATTTTTGGGCCAGATTGTGATAATAAAGTTTGGCGAAAAGTGAATACCGAAATGCACCATAAAAATACAGTATCTTCGGTTAAACACGGGGGTGGTAATGTAATGTTGTGGGGCTGTACGAGTGCAAATGGTGTCGGAAACATGCAATTCATTACTGATAAAATGGATCACCGGCTCTACATTCAAATATTAAAAGACAATTTGAACGCTAGCGCCAATAAACTCGGACTTTCGGGTCGTTGTCTTGTTGAAAGATGTAAGAAACATACAGCCCAAAATACAAAACTTTGGATTTTGTACAACACCCCAAGTGTTTTAGGAACACCGCCTCAGTCCCCGGGCTTCAATCCGATTGAGCACTTGTGGGCAGATTTGGAGCGTGCCATCCGAAAACATGGAATTACATCAAAAGATAGACTTAAAACAGTAATAGTCAAAGAATGGGAAAAAATATCAGGCGAGAGAATACGAAAACTAGTGTTTTTGATGCAGAACAGATTAAGAGAAGTTATTAAAATGAAAGGATATTCTACCCGATATTAATTAATTAAAAAAAAAAGTTTTACTGAACTAGTTTATTTTTTTACGAATACTTTTGTGACGTGATTCAACCTCATTGTTTAGTAAACTGCTGTTTTTTTTTTGTATTTATGTTGAGATAAAGTTTAGTTTTTACGTTTCAATAAAAGTTTATACCACTATGAAATAATATTGATTAAGTTTTTGTTTTAAATGAAAACTTAAGGAAGTTGTTGTTACTCTCCGGTCCCATAAACTGATTTCCGAATACTTTTGCGAGGCACTGTATTTGGATTTGTCTGTTTTCAAGGCTTATGAATAACTTTACTTTTTGCAATTTGATTCAGGCGTTCTCGAGTTATTCGAATTTTTCTAGAAAAATCTGCTCTATTAATGTTAGGTATAGGACATATGTAGTATAAAAGATGTAAAATGAGACACCGAAGACGAGTAAGTAATAAAATATGGGGTGTACCATTTAAAAAAATGGAGTTATGGTACTTCCAAATTTCAAAAAATTAACGTGCCACAGTAAAGTGACCAAACGTTCTAGACAGTCGTTCTCGGCACCAAAACATACTCCATCATGTTGCTTAAACATGTTCTGAATCCTAAATTGATATCCCAAAAATCGAGTGTTCTCTGATTTTTTTAACAAATGTCTGCTGGAGCAGATTTTTCTGGAAAAATTCGAATAACTCGAGAACGGCCGAATGAAATTGCAAAAAGTAAAGTTATTTATAAATTTTGAGAACAGACAAATTCAAATATGTAAAAATATACAGGTCGATCCACTTTAAAAAATAAAGTGGGTGGGACTTCCGGTATAACCGGAAGTGTTAGAAATCTGAAAATATTTTAGTCGAAGAGAACGCAATTAATAATACTTAAGTCTGAATTCTCAAATTTTTATTTTGGCCAGAACCCGAGAAACGTCTAATGACCGGTCTCTCTGAGACACCTGTATATACAGGGTCCCGTAACTCAACGTTAAGTGGGCACCTGGTGAGACTCCAAGCCATACCTGTTCTGGTAATAATAAGAAAAAAAATCCATGTCTCTTAGTTAAGTGGTAATAGATATATTTTTGAAAATGCTAAAAATCGTTCCCGGTCATATCTTCAGGTACTATATAGTCAGAAATGTTTGTAATTTAATAGTAATTTTTTTAATAATGTATTCCTTATGAACCATGCTACTACTGAAATCAAACAACAAAAGTCGTTAGTTTTGCAAAAAAAATATTAGTTTGGTTGAGTTAAACTTGAAAGAATTTATGTCTATTAAGTTTGACACACTATTTCTAAAAAAAGGAGTACTGCAACACCCTTGGCTATTTTAAAAGATAGCTTGTTTAGTCAAGATTCCAAAATGGTATCAACAACCTAACACTTACTATTTTTCTTTTCTTAAAAAATATTACTGCCAGTCTTTCTGCAAAAAACGCGTTATTTAAAAAATTCATACTTTCGTATGTTTTCCTTCAAAACAATTTAATAACTTTATTAGAAGATGTGCTAGTCAATATCTACAGAGAAGTGTGGTTTCAACAAGATGGTTCTCCAGGTCATTATGCTTGTCCTGTACGGGATTGAATACAGAATATCCCAAAAGATGGATTGAGCGTCTTGGTTCGATTACGTGGCCTCCTCATTTTCTGGGCCTACATCCCCTTGATTTCTTTATTAGAATTGCATAAAAGAAAGAGTGTATTAAAAACCGATTGGAAATCTTACCGAACTGCGCCACAATATTTATACAGCAGCAGAAGAAATAAATGCAAAGCGATTTAGTAAAAATTTTATAGTAAAAAGATTTTTTCTGCGACGATGCAGAGCTTGTATTAGTTCCGACGTCAAACAATTTGATCATTTGCTTTCGTTTTAAGAAAATAATGCAATAAAATTAATAATAAATAAATTAATAATTCCTTTTGTTTAATTTTGTCTTTAGGTTAACCTTATTCGAAACAATCCTTTTGCAAGACATAAGAGACATAAGTTCGTAGATATTGAGAGTAAATACAAATAGCATACGAAAGTATGAATTATTTAAATAACGTGTTTTTTTATGAAAAGAAAAATGGCAAGTGTTCACTATTTTGGAAACTTGACTAAACAGGCCATCTTTTAAAATAACTTGCCAAGCGTGTTGTAGGTACTACTCCTTTTTTTAGAAATGGTGTGTCAAACTTAATTTAAACAAAATTAATTTTTTTTTGCAAAACTAACGACTTTTGTTGTTTGTGACTTCTACTGGGTGCCCCTCAGAAGTGGCTCACCCCCATATTTTTTTTATTATTAGTGATATAAGAAAACCATTTAGAATGCATAATGAGGCCGTTAAAACGGATTATTACGACATGAAATCATTCTCTTTGTACTTCCGGTTATACCGGATGTGAGTACTAATTTCGCTATTTTTTTAAATCTATAATTTTTTTTTCTTCCCTTGGCTCGACAGCATAATTTCACATAACTTTTACTTGAAAAAATTTTCAGGATCGCTTATAATTTTAAAATGAAATGAAAAATAGTCTCACTGCGTTCATCGCTAAACGACAGACCACGCCATAAAAAACACTGCTTCTCTTTCATATAAAACAATATACTATTTTCATTATTTTTAAACGTTTTAGTAGCTTCGGAAAATGTATTACAACTTTTGACGCATAATAGCTAGGTTAATAGTACAAACTACGCTATGCCCCTCTTGATTTACTATTTCTCGAACAGTGATCACTGCTATGCTTTAGTCAGTGATTCTTTTTTAATAATGGTGTAAATTAACAGTTGTATTAAATTAGTTTAAAAAAAAACGCGATCAAACAATTAAATTTAATTCAATTATAAGTTCAAGAAAACTAATTTTCGATTTCTACGTCTCGATTTTGACATAAATGTTAATTTACACCATTATTAAAAAAGAACCACTGACTAAAGCAATGAAATAGCAAATCAAGAGGGACATAGCATAGTTTATACTATTAACCTAGCTACTATGCGTCAAAAGTTGTAATACATTTTCCGAAGGTACTAAAACGTTAAAAAATAATAATTTTTTTTTCATAAATTATAAGCGATCGTGAAAATTTTTGCAAGTAAAAGTTATGTGAAATTATGCTGTCTACCCAACTAAAGAAAAAAAAAATTATAGATTTAGAAAATACCGAAATTAGTACTCACATCCGGTACAACCGGAAGTACAAAGAGAATGATTTCATGTCATAATAATCCGTTTTAACGGCCTAATTATGCATTCCAAATGGTTATCTTATATCACCAATAATAAAAAAAAATATGGGGGTGAACCACTTCTGAGGGACACCAGTATAATAGCATGGTTTATAAGATTATAAGGAATACACAGGTGCAACTTTAGCAATTATTGGATAGTCTTTACGTAATTCGTTAAAATATTCCGAAACTCCTTGTAAATCTACAGCAATCGTTAATACATTCCAGAATACCTTAAATCAGGGGTCGGCAACCTATTGAAACGGAAGAGCCAAAAGGTACAATTTACAAAATTTCCCAGTTTTTAAAGAGTCACTAAAAATTTTCTTTTCAATGTTATCGTATTTAATATTAGTAGCTTAAATACATGTTAGATTTTTGATTTAAAATAAACGGCTTTAAATACGAAATAATATTTATTCTTTATTCTTTTGAAAGTTTTATTAAATCTGGCTTATAACTTGTTGTTTAAGTACGACTCTAGATTGTTATTTGACTTCTAACTTTACTTTTTATTATATTCATGCAAGAGAACGCTTGCTCGCACGAAAGCAAAACGTTGCAATATGTTACCTTTAGAAAGCTATCGCACTTTATTATGCAGAAGTAGATCAGTAAACTGGCTATCTATTTCTTCAAGGAAATCTTTAAACTAGCGATGGTAGAGTGTTTTTGCTAAGATGCTGTTAATAATCTTAATTAGCAAGTTTATGATCTCAACTATTTCGGCCAGAAATTTTTGGGCACAAAGCGCTTCTTGATGAATTATGCAGTGAAACCCTCTAGTTACCCCTCTATGTATTCATGTTATACTTCTGGCTCCATCAGTTGCTATAGAAACGATTTTATTTATGTCGATTCTATTCTATCTTCTCCACGAGTTTGCCTTGAGAGCGGTAGTAATCCTAGCAGTTTTTTTGGACCTTAGGATGACATATACCTGACGAAAAGGGTAATTTGTGCCGTGTTTTTTATGTCGCAAGACTCATCTATACTCACGTGATAAAGCAGAAGCTAGTTGAATGTCTTGCACTTACCTATGTGTTACATTTGAAGACATTTTAGCAGTTGTATCTTGTACTGTTTTAGCAAATAATGGCAAATCTTTGATTTTTTTTATGATTTCTGCTTTGTTTTTAAAATCACGAAACAGTTCTTCAGGTGCACGTATAAAACATTCTTTGACGTAGTCCTCTTTTTGCAATTTGACTTCTTATTGTGTGCGAATTTTTTGTGGTAAACGAAACAAGTTGGAAGGCCTGATTGAATTTTCGGTTTTCTTCTTCAGTTAAGCGCTCACGTTAAGCGGAGCGATTTGTAATTAACAATTATGAAAATAGAAGCTATTGATAAATTAGGTACTTGAAAATATATTTTCTTATTTTTTAAGGGTTTTGATAGTAAATTAATATAGTAATTAATGTTTTTCGTATGGAACTGGAGAGCCGCAACTTTACATCAAAAGAGCTGCATATGGCTTGCGAGCCGCAGGTTGCCGACCCCTGCCTTAGATAGATTTTACAAACCGAAATTCGTGAAAACCTGTTAGCAATCTTCTAAAAATCTTGGAAATATTTAAAACGTCTTAATAATACAAATAAATTCCAAATAAGTCACCGTTTCTCCGTTCCAGTTTGGAACTCCTTTCAAACTTTTGGATTTCCTTGGAAATTATGAAGCTTGAAAATCTTTCAGAAATTTTCAAATCTTAGGCAATATTTAAATCCTTAATAATCTATCAAGTCCTCAGGAAATACTTGGAAGATATAAGATAATTTTCTTATTAATAAAGAATTATTTTGAATATGTGATATCTAGTAATATTTCTTGGCTTTTTGAGTTTTATATTAACACATTCTTCTTATTTTGGAAAAGGTCAGTATTAGAAGATCCACCTTCGATATCTGAAGGTTGTGGAGGACGAGTTACAGATTATAGAATTCCAGATTTTGGATTATTCATTCAACAGAATAAGCTACTTTCTGTGAAATCGAATTATGGCGCTCAACTTCATCCAGTTCAAAGAATGAAATCCCGTCTTAGCAGACACACCAAATATTGGCCTCTGACAATTAGTTCGACTTTGATATTCAATTTAAAAGGGGTAAGAATTCACTTTTAATATTATTATTGTTATAGAATATTATGTATTTATACTTTGTATTTAAGAGTTTGGAACCTTTACCCAAATTAATCACAAAAGAAAAGCTCTTCGACGAAGAAGTAAATCAATGTAAACAAGTTATCTATAATTTGTTAACTCAAGAAACGAAACACGAACCTTTAAATCTACCGAATATCGGTCAAAGGGGAAGCAAAGGTGGTCAGAAGCGCGAGGAGCAATACAAATTGATGTGGAACGAATTGGAAACATTAATTAAAAATAATTTACACTCAGAAAATCATCGTACTATTTATAAGGTTTTAATTGAATGTCATAAGTTTAACTTGGACGGCGACGAAAAAATGGAAGTCGATCAAAGTAAGATTAATAGTAATTATTTAATTCGATTATTATTGTTAACTTAATGTTGTTTTTATGAAAAAAGATTTAGAGCAACGAGTTTCTGTAATAAGAGCCACAACAGATTCACCAATGTCTCCACCACCATTAACTACAATTTCGGCGAATTTAACAAGACAACCCAATCTAAAATCAGGGACGAAAAGTTTATTAGATATCTACATGGAAAAAGAGAAATGTAAATCAAGGCCTGAATTTGCGGGAATTTTAAATAGCGATGGTCCCGTTACTAAATTGTATTCTAATTTAAAAACGGACGATTGGGCACCGCGTGAAGGATCAGGAATTCAAGTAGAATAAGAGTAATCATTAGGAATAGTAAACATGTGTATGTACTTTAAAATGAAATACATGTGGGAATGTGAAATGTCAGTGGGTGTTTAATGTTACACTAAAAATTATGAATTTGTACAGTAATAAATAATCCTGACATGTATATCTTAATAAGTAAACATGCCTATTAGTATACAGGGTGGTTCAGTTTTTAATTGGGAAACTTTACTAGAAGCGTTGACTGAGAAATTTAACAAGACAGGGAAAATAAGTGTCGCAGCTGCAATCGTGTTCCCCTCTCCCTACTACTGAACTAGTCCCACCGCATTCACTCTGTAAAGTGGCGCCACCGTTATAATATACCGAACCACATCCGAGCTGAGAGAATTTTACATTTCTCAAAAAATATTTAAAAATTGAAAATCATACTAATAAGTTGAAAAAATAGGGAATTTTAAAGATTTTAAAAATCACATAAAGTAGTTAAAAATACGAAAAGTTGTAATATTATATAAAATTGATTTATTTTATTATTTTAATTACTAAAAAAGTTTAAAAATCATTGAAATTAATTGTTAAACACTTTATTAAAAATACTTGGAGAAAATAAGTCCACTGATTTTTGCGGCAGTAGTTAATTCCCTAAAATTCGTACTTTCCTATGTGGTTTTCCACATGCTATGGGAATTTTCTTTCTATCATCAGATTCCCATTTCAGATTTCTAAAAATTTTCATTTTTATAATTAGTTTTACCATTTGTTTTCTATGGTCTATACAATTTCCTTCGGCATATAAGCATGGCAAGTCGTCCATTAAATCCTTTTCTATATTTTGTACAACATTTTCACTTAATTTGTGCTGTTCGTAAAGAGCATTAAATCTATTTAAAATGTATGTGGTGGTGTTAATAAAGCTCTCAGTAGGTCTTCTTAAGAATTGTGTATCAGTGGAACAGCAATAATCTTTATTCAAAATAAAAAATTCGTTTTCTTCAAACGCATCATTTGAATCTTTTATTAAATCAGATCGACATTGTTCGCACGTTGTTTTGTCAAAAATTTTGTGGAATACATAACCTGCAACATACGCTGTCGTACAACTTACCAATGTAATTTTTTTTTGGCCACTGCTAGATGGAATTACTTCGTTGATGTCGTCGACATTTACATCTTTCTGAGGAAGAGTCAAGACACACCTGGCAATTTTCTGTTCTTCTATTACTTGGTTTTCTTTTTCTGCATCCATCAGTACACAATATCAGTACACTGGCCTCATCAGCAATACAATTACTAGTATCCACCTCCATTCCCAATCTAACGTTGCTGTTATGCTGCATCGCAATTCGAAATTGGCGAACTGTAGGCGTCGGATTATAACCGCCTCTGCTTCTGACCACAGAAAAAAAATTTGATTTAGAAAATTTGTTAACAGATATTTAATTTTCATTAATTTCAGTTCCGACCATAATAATAAAATAGAACGTATGGTCCATTGAAACCCCCCCAAACAGTAAATGTTGTTTCTTTTTGTTTCTGTATTATTTGCTATCTCGTAAACATCAATGTGTTTAAAAAAAATTAATCCCTGTAATAAAATATTTTCTGGTCTATCATTGTAAATCGATAATGCTCTTTTGTTGGGATTATTATCATTTACTGTTTAGAGTATCAAATATATTATTTACACTTTCAATAAAATCGGCAGTATCTATCGCTGTATTACTTTTTAATTGCATCGTTCCTCTGGCTGTAGCAACTGCTGCTGCAACTGTGTGCGAGAATATTTGTGTTGCATATTTGACTCGCATTTTCTCAAATGTTGTTGGTTTAATGTGGGATATATCGCTTTTCTGTTATTGGAACATCAGAGGATTTAAGTTCATTTTCCTTAATTCTCTGATAACATCTTTTATGATTAGATGCAGCATAGAACTTTTTACAGGTCCAGCGGATGTATAATATCCTAATGGTATTTTGTAATTATGGAGCAAACCCCGCAGATAAAATACAAGAGCCGTGTTGGCTAGTTTGGACTCTTTGCCATAGTTGGCCAGATCTTGACATCCTTCAATTAGATCCTGTAATTTATTATATTCCAGCTGTGTTTTTAACCAAATTTCATCAAATATTACCACGCAATGTTTTTCGTAATCTGTCATACTTTTAACTTTTGAAGCTAATTTCTTTGTCAGTGTAGTTTTGATCCCTGTTTTTAAATTTTAAACTTTCAACCAGGACTGTATAGTTCTGACCGCTGGCAGAACAAACTTTAATTTATTTAAGATAAAACTGTACGTGCTGGGTGATTTGTAGAAAAGAGACATTGCGATCTTTCCTTTTTTGTAGGCATATTCATAATTCGATCACTTACTACACTCATGTTAGAAGAAGTAGAAGTACTCTGGTGTTGCTTTTCGTCTGGAGAATAGTTGACTGTGAGAGTTGATAATGCCTCCGAATCAGAATTTGATGTTGTGCTAGAATTGTCAGCAAATTGTCTTTTCACCATACGTTCACAATACTTTTGTACCATACGTTTTAACAAGCGAATGTGTTCGGAATGGGCTAGTTGGAACAGCAAAGGTCTGCACAAACAGAAGAAAAACGCTTATTAAGTTTATGTTTTAAAAGAAAAAATCTGATAGTAATTTACGAAAAGAAAATCTTAACTCAAAAAATAAATAAAGATAAATTAGCTATATTCCATACTTTTGTCATACCCTATATATAAATTCCACACAAAAAAATCCTCAAAGAAGCTTGTAACCAAAAGTTGTAAATTACATCAATGTGTTTACATAAGACATGACCAAGACACAAGGAGTATATCACTTTTTAAAAAATGTCTTTCACAAAGTTTTGTTTCTTTTAACTCTTCGACGTCGATCAAAGCAATTTCAATATTTCCGCATCGTTTTTGCCATTCGATTGCTCGTTGTTTTTCTTTTATAGGAAATTTGAAATAATTTATTCCATTGTCTTTTAACCTGTGTTTTCCACAATTAATATAATAACACATATTTTTAAGCGGCATTTTCTTGAGGGCACTAATGCATACGATAAAAATTACACTTAGAACTGCCGAGAACACTAACAACAGAAGAATAAAATTTCAATTTAGGAAGCTACTTCAACTTGGGTAGCGCCATCTAAATGTGGAGATATTTTACGGCGACGCGTAAAACTATCGTATGACATGTCTTGTTAAATTTCTCAGTCAACGCTAGAAGGTAGTACTTTCCAAAATAACATAAGTTTTTTGTATAAATATAGGGTCGCAACTCTTTTGTTTTCGAGCTATGAGCGATCAAAGTTGAGCCCTTCCCTAGCGCCCTCTAAGGGGATGAAATTCACAACCCCTTTGAATTTTTTATAAGAACTTTTTATAAAAAATAAAATCATGCACCGCTATGTGCCGCCATGTTTAGCTAAAATAATAATTGTTCTAAAAGTTGGCTCTGAGATTCATTTACATTGAATCCTCATAATTGTTGATGATTATTAATAATTTTTGACTGTTATTAAGCAAGAGTATCAATTTTTTAATATTGTTTATTATTCTTAAAAACAACGTAATTTTGTTCAGACATTCACGTTATTTATGATTTTTGTTATGAAAAACACAATTAACTTATGTTATTTTGCCAGTACTAGATACTAGTAAATGCACAACTTCTATAAAAAAACTTTTTTTTTTTAAATAATAGTACATTGCCGTACTGTGTAGCATATTTTATTTTTTTACGCGAAAACTATTATCTTTAAGGAAAAAACTGAAGAGACAAAAAAGAACAATAGAGCCGAAATAAAAAATAAAATGTAAATTGTTGACACAACTTTGATCGCTCATAGCTCGAAAACAAAAGAGTTGCGATCCCCCGTATACACGGTGTTCCGGTGACTTGGGGCATAAAATTAACCTCATATACTAGAGCAAAAATGATGACGATTCGTGAAAAAAAATTATTATGAAAGTCTTCAAATGGCCATGATATGGGCCATCAAAGTTCAGAAATTTTAACACACTTTTTTAAATATTTTCAATACCATTTATGGTAGAACGTTGAAATTTGGTACAGTGTAAACAAATATTAAGCAAAATCATTGAACCAATTTTGACTTTGATCGGGCGGCGGCAACCATGCTATACAGGTGTCCCTAAAATTTGTTTGCTCAGAACTTTTTTGTTCGCTCGTAACCCTACATTTATTTTTGTACTTTTTAATAGAAAATTTATTTTAGAACTTTTATCACTCTTTGAAAATTTTGATAACATTGACCGTTTTCGAGTTATACGCGAAAATATTAAGCTTCGATTTCAATGGTAACACTAAAGGTACGTTTTCCTCCATGGTCGCCGGTCGCCGACGACTGCGACTGAGTAGCGACGACTGATTCGCCGACGAATTTTTTATTAGGTACGTTTTCCTCCATGGTCGTCAGTCGTCGACGTTTAGTTCGCAAGTATACAGTATATATTGTGTATTTTTTTAGACTCGAGACAAAACGTATAAAGATGAACAAAGTACGACAAAGAAATTTGATTTTAATGTTATTAAATTATCAAGAAGAAGAGGAAAATTTACTTCTTTCTTTAGTTTAGGAAAGTGAAGAAAAAAAAATATACATGTTTCAGCGGAGAAAATTGGAAGGATTTTAATCAATATTGGTAAATCAGTATTTAAAAGATAATGAAACCAGATTTAAAGAGTTTTTTCGAATCACACGCCATCAATTTAATTATATATTGGAACTCATCCAAGATGATCTTGTAACAAAACCCTACAACCGTGTGAAGGACCCAATAACACCAGGAGAAAAATTGGCAATAACGTTAAGGTAAGCAAATTTCCTTTATTTTTACTATATTTNCAATTTGGTCGTTCTTTTTTAGCTTGCATGATAGTATACTTGAAAATAGTAATATTTTTCAAATAAATTTTTTCAAAATTTTTAGTTATAAAGGAATAGTTTGTAATTTGCTAAAATTGCAAAAAGGTAGCGTAAAAATGAATATTTTCCGTCAAGATTCCCACGAAGTATTACCACCGCGTTAGTCCCGCCTCCTGCCGACTGAGCGGCGCTGACATCGACTCTCTTCATCGAAGCTCCTTGTTTTATCTATTACTTTTTAATGTGGTAGAGAAAATAATCATTTCCAAA